TATAATTAGATTTGTTTGCAATCATGTTATGATTTCGTGAATTTTGAATGAAAGGTATATAATAGCCACCTTATCTGAAAGACTAGTAGGGCAAGTCTTGCTGGGTCCAGGAGGGGGGTGGGGTAGTTTTCCTTGGACCTGAGTTGCAAGCCGTCAACAGTAACATGTCAATAATTAATCGATAATACCTACCTAACAAACGGGCGGTTAACATCGGGGTCTCTGTCAACATTCAAAGCTGTGCTTGAGCCCTACCTCTACATGTAATCACCTTTCCTGGACGATGGCGGGGAGGGGGAGTCGGGGCTCAGGTGGGCTCTCCCTTTCCACGGATCAAAGTACGATTGCCTCTCATTTCCATGATGCAGTATAACCCCTACTTATTTAAAGCTTCCCCGTAAATATAATAGAAATACGTGAAGATTAACTAGTACTACAAGTGTACAAATAACCCACACTGAAAATTATGACGATGTTTCGGTCCGACTTTGATCATTAACTAGTCACACCAGAGTGCTAAAAGTGATAAGGACGCGTTCTCAGGCTGTCCCCTTATCCTTTGCCTGTCTCTCGCCCCAGCTGGCTCTTCAGCCTGTGCCATCCTTTCCCGAAGTGGCGGTACAGTTCCAAGCCTCATTCTCCTTCCATCAAGTATTACTGAAAATTGGTTATAATCATAACCATAATTTTTAAAGGGGTGGACCGGTAAGCTAGCGTAAGGCCTCTGTCAGATGACCAAAAGCTCCAGCTGCGAATTAAGACCCATGTCAGGAAACACTTGTCCTGTTGTTTCCTGACAAACCTAATATGTACCTATATAGTATAGGCTGGTTTATTACATCTTAAGTTAGATTGTCCTCTTATCCATTAACTTTCACCAATTATATATACCACGGCAACATGAAATACAAGATAAAGGCGATAAAAAAAAAAAAATGACGCCCGAACAGAAAACCGAAAACGGGGACCCACCAAACTCTGTAGAAGGATGTCAGAAGTCAGTTTAAATTCACCCATTTAACTTTCTTAGCAACAGCGAAATACTGCCTATTAAGAGGATCGGCTGCCCATTGAGGTTGGTGGCTCGCCAATCTTGATAGACTCACTTTCCCCAAAGGATCATTTTTTTCTTTAGGTAAGCCCTTCCTGGTCGGGTTGGCCTTCATCATATGCCTTGCTTCTCTTTATTCGTCAGGGAAACTTCCTGACTGACCACCTCAAAACTACATCTTCGAGGGTAATGGACTGATTACGTCTGTACATCTACTGGTTTTGCTGTCTCCTATATGTGCGACTGAAGAAGCCTACTGTGTAGGCTTACCGTTTTGGAATAAAGATGCCTAACTGTTGCACATGTCTTAATTATCATCCTTCATGTTACGCATGAATAAGACGTGTGTAACACCTGAATATTTTTTTTTTTTTTTTTTTTTTTTGCAGGAAGTTTCGTGAACTTTTTTTTTTTTATATATAGTTCTATAGAGATTATATACAGTGGACCCCCGTATAACGATTACCTCCGAATGCGACCAATTATGTAAGTGTATTTATGTAAGTGCGTTTGTACGTGTATGTTTGGGGGTCTGAAATGGACTAATCTACTTCACAATATTTCTTATGGGAATAAATTCGGTCAGTACTGGCACCTGAACATACTTCTGGAGTGAAAAAATATCGTTAACCGGGGGTCCACTGTACTGGGGACTGGAAGTGGAGGTAATTTTGATAAAACTAAAGCAGATGTGGGAAAAAGACTTGTGTATAGTTCAGGACATTTATTAAACAAAACGTTTCCTTTAATAAATTTCCTGAACTGTACTCATACGTCTTTTTCCACATGGTGGTATCACCATACTATTTATTTTCACAAAAGCAGATATGCAGAAATAAACTTAACATAAAAAATTTGAAGTTTGTGGTTACAGGAAAGTGGGTGCAGGAGGGAAGAGGAGCGATTGGTGGAATGATGATGTAAAGAGAGTAGTAAGGGAGAAAAAGTTAGCATATGAGAAGTTTTTACAAAGTAGACGTGATGCAAGGAGGGAAGAGTATATGGAGAAAAAGAGAGAAGTTAAGAGAGTGGTGAAGCAATGTAAAAAGAGAGCAAATGAGAGAGTGGGTGAGATGTTATCAACAAATTTTGTTGAAAATAAGAAAAAGATTTGGAGTGAGATTAACAAGTTAAGAAAGCCTAGAGAACAAATGGATTTGTCAGTTAAAAATAGGAGAGGAGAGTTATATAAATGGAGAGTTAGAGGTATTGGGAAGATGGAGGGAATATTTTGAGAATTGTTAAATGTTGATGAAGATAGGGAAGCTGTGATTTCGTGTATAGGCAAGGAGGAATAACATCTTGTAGGAGTGAGGAAGAGCCAGTTGTGAGTGTGGGGGAAGTTCGTGAGGCAGTAGGTAAAATGAAAGGGGGTAAGGCAGCCGGGATTGATGGGATAAAGATAGAAATGTTAAAAGCAGGTGGGGATATAGTTTTGGAGTGGTTGGTGCAATTATTTAATAAATGTATGGAAGAGGGTAAGGTACCTAGGGATTGGCAGAGAGCATGCATAGTTTCCTTTGTATAAAGGCAAAGGGGATAAAAGAGAGTGCAAAAATTATAGGGGGATAAGTCTGTTGAGTGTACCTGGTAAAGTGTATGGTAGAGTTATAATTGAAAGAATTAAGGTAAGACGGAGAATAGGATAGCAGATGAACAAGGAGGCTTTCGGAAAGGTAAGGGGGTGTGTGGACCAGGTGTTTACAGTGAAACATATAAGTGAACAGTATTAGATAAGGCTAAAGAGGTCTTTGTGGCATTTATGGATTTGGAAAAGGCGTATGACAGGGTGGATAGGGGGCAATGTGGCAGATGTTGCAAGTGTATGGTGTAGGAGGTAGGTTACTGAAAGCAGTGAAGAGTTTTTACGAGGATAGTGAGGCTCAAGTTAGAGTATGTAGGAAAGAGGGAAATTTTTTCCCAGTAAAAGTAGGCCTTAGACAAGGATGTGTGATGTCACCGTGGTTGTTTAATATATTTATAGATGGGTTGTAAGAGAAGTAAATGCGAGGGTCTTGGCAAGAGGCGTGGAGTTAAAAGATAAAGAATCACACACAAAGTGGGAGTTGTCACAGCTGCTCTTTGCTGATGACACTGTGCTCTTGGGAGATTCTGAAGAGAAGTTGCAGAGATTGGTGGATGAATTTGGTAGGGTGTGCAAAAGAAGAAAATTAAAGGTGAATACAGGAAAGAGTAAGGTTATGAGGATAACAAAAAGATTAGGTGATGAAGATTGAATATCAGATTGGAGGGAGAGAGTATGGAGGAGGTGAACGTATCAGATATTTGGGAGTGGACGTGTCAGCGGATGGGTCTATGAAAGATGAGGTGAATCATAGAATTGATGAGGGAAAAAGAGTGATGTGTGCACTTAGGAGTCTGTGGAGACAAAGAACTTTGTCCTTGGAGGCAAAGAGGGGAATGTATGAGAGTATAGTTTTACCAACGCTCTTATATGGGTGTGAAGCGTGGGTGATGAATGTTTGCAGCGAGGAGAAGGCTGGAGGCAGTGGAGATGTCATGCCTGAGGGCAATGTGTGGTGTGAATATAATGCAGAGAATTCGGTAGTTTGGAAGTTAGGAGGAGGTGCGGGATTACCAAAACTGTTTGTCCAGAGGGCTGAGGAAGGGTTGTTGAGGTGGTTCGGACATGTAGAGAGAATGGAGCGAAACAGAATGACTTCAAGAGTGTATCAGTCTGTAGTGGAAGGAAGGCGGGGTAGGGGTCGGCCTAGGAAGGGTTGGAGGGAGGGGGTAAAGGAGGTTTTGTGTGCGAGGGGCTTGGACTTCCAGCAGGCATGCGTGAGCGTGTTTGATAGGAGTGAATGGAGACAAATGGTTTTTAATACTTGACGTGCTGTTGGAGTGTGAGCAAAGTAACATTTATGAAGGGATTCAGGGAAACCGGCAGGCCGGACTTGAGTCCTGGAGATGGGAAGTACAGTGCCTGCACTCTGAAGGAGGGGTGTTAATGTTGCAGTTTAAAAACTGTAGTGTAAAGCACCCTTCTGGCAAGACAGTGATGGAGTGAATGATGGTGAAAGTTTTTCTTTTTCGGGCCACCCTGCCTTGGTGGGAATCGGCCAGTGTGATAATAAAAAAAAAATAAAAAAAATGTGTATAATGTAGGATTCAACGTTTACTCTGCTCGAGAGAGAATCTGATTGGACTTGAGGACAACTAACTTATCCCTCAAAGAAAATTATTATATTCATGGGGAAGTGCTGAACCTCAGGGTTACAGTTCATGAAAAATGGGAGTTAATCAGGTTTGAGCCAAGGAAGGGGAGGTTATGCCAATTTGTTGAATCAAGATCCTCTTAGACAAGATTTTGTCGTAAATTGTGTACAATTATTAAGATTTTCCATGATATACCAAAGTGTACGTATTTGAAAACTTTTGAAATTTACCAGGTTTCTTAGAAATACTTTTATTTGATCTAGTCACATTCTTGTTTATGTAGTAATTTTTATCAAATCTCATAGTCTGTAAGATTTTACTATCTATTACATTATCACAAGACATGAAGACATTAAATTGCCATCCATTTTTCAGTCCAGTTGGTCATTTTAGATATTTCTTGTAGGGGCCTAGTCATCTTGATTACTTATTTTGCATAGAATTTTTATATCTACATTTGAGAGGGCAAGAGCAGGAAAGGGTGAGTACAGTACATTATGTATAGTCCAAAAGGCTACCTGGAGAAGTCTAGGATGATTGAATGAGAGCTTTCTCCAATTAGCCTGTGTGGAAAGTAGTGTGAAACAATAGGTTAGTTTCAATATTTTTTTAAATCTTTAACTTCGTTATATCCTGCTCTTTTATATTTACTGGACAATTGTGTCTGTATCCCACGAAAGTGAGGAACTGACTGAATTCATTTTGCTGACATCTGCTTTCAGGCTTTGCAGTTTTAAAGGTACTTTTCATCTAAATTGTTGCTCTTCAGGTTGTGATGCGTGGGGAGAATGGTGAGGCTATTGTGGGTGGAGGCAGAGAGTTGGTAAATGATGAGCTGATGATATCAACAAGCAGAGAGATGAAGGGTTCCCCCAGCCCACCACTGAGTGCTGCTGTCTCTCAGGTCTCCCTGGCCCCCAGTGACCTGACCACCAGTGATCCTGATCTGGCTGCCTCCTCGGCCTACTCCTCGGGTTCCTCTAGACCGCCCTCGTCACAGTTGTCTCTGGCTGCCACTGACCTAGATCTGATAGCAGATGTATGTTCCAGGCCTCCTTCATCTGGTATAGACACGCCTGACCTTGCATTACCAGCTCCTGAGGACTACACCACTGAAACAGGTGAACATGCCAGTTCTTCCACCGTCTTTAAATTGATGCAGATCTAATAACATGTATTACTAATCTAGTACCCCTTGTATTCAGCGAATCTTGAAAAACATTTATAATATGAAGAAAGTGGAACTTAGGTTTACATATTTAATCCTGTCAAATGGTTAGATTTGGATTCTTCAATATCAGTTAATGTTGATCATTTGATTCATCTTTTTTTCTAACATGTATAGTAGTTACTCAGTACAGCTAAATGTTTAGGCTATGCATTGTTATTTCCAGGATTATTTCAGACATTTTATGCCATTGAAGAAGGAACATTCTGAGCATGCCTTATTAATGAAAATTTTCGAATCTACTTATATTTCTTGACTTTTCTCCTGTCAGTATCTTGGTCTTAACAGAAATAGCCGTAATATCAATAAATGTGTTCATTGAAGAATTCATAACCTGCTCGGTACAACACTATGATTCTAAGCAAAATAAAGTTTAATGAAGGTACAGTATCTTAGATGAAGTACATACATACATCAATATGCACAGTATTTTGGACATGATGTAATGACAGTATAGGTATAATTCTGAATATTTATTAATGTGGGAGTTAAGCCTGAAGTAGTACAGATATGTAACCAAAAGACTAAAGTGGTGCAGATATACAGTGGAACCTTGGTATACAACTAGCTCCCTACTTGAACAAAGCTCAGCACTCGACCAAAGAAATATGACCTGCCAGAACTTTGCTGTAAACTATTTCGTGTTTCTTTGCTTTTTTTTTTTTTTATTATTATTATTGTGTAAATAGTCACCATGGGGCCTATGAAGATTAGTGATAACAGCCATCCAAACAGAAAATTAGTTGGGAAGAACTTGTTCGACACTCGAACACCCATCTGGAATGAATTAAGGTAGCATACTGAGGTTCCACTGCATAACCAATATTCAAACGTTTTTAAAGTTGGGCTGAAGGGTAACGACAGTCTAGAGCTCTATGAACCCTACCTGTCAAGAAGGTGCCATGATGCTAGTGAAGGACTTGATTCAAGGAATTGGAGTGTCCCTCCCTTTGGATCAAACCTGATTACCTCCCTTTCCCTAGGCACTACATGATTCCTATATGTTTAACACTTCCCCATAAATGTGCTACTCTGTTCCTCAGTCTATTTTTTTTTTCGTCTGTCTTTAATATGTAGACATGCTCTGTATCCTCAAAACTTAGTAAAACTATTATATTTATTTTTTAGTGGAATTTCCAACAAGTCCTCTTGCCTTGAAGACTGGTAGAGAGAGGTGTAATGGTGTTTGTTTTGTGGAGTCAGATGAAGTAATTGGAGACGTTCATCCTGGCAGGCAAAACTTCCTCACTCCCAGTTATGTATCAGGTATGTAGCAGCATTCCTTAGTCTTCACTTACATACTCTACTTGTACTTGTAATACCTTTCTAGTGCATAGATTTTTTAAATATAAATTATAAAATCATTCTTTTCAGGTGGTATTGGTATTGGTTGGAATAGTTTAAAAATTCAGTATTAGAATGTGGGGCAGAAGTTTGTGGTTATAGGAGGGTGGGGGCAGGAGGAAAGAGGAGTGATTGGTGGAATGAAGAAGTAAAGGGTGTGATAAAAGAGAAAAAGGTAGCTTACGAGAGGTTTTTACAAAGCAGAAGTGTTATAAGAAGAGCAGAGTATATGGAAGTAAAAGAAAGGTGAAGAGAGTGGTGAGAGAGTGCAAAGGAGAGCAGATGAAAGAGTGGGAGAGGCACTGTCAAGAAATTTTAATGAAAACAAGAAAAAAATTTGGAGTGAGTTAAACAAGTTAAGAAAGCCTAGGGAAAGTATGGATTTGTCCATTAAAAACAGAGTAGGGGAGTTAGTAGATGGGGAGAGGGAGGTATTAGGTAGATGGCGAGAATATTTTGAGGAACTTTTAAATGTTGAGGAAGAAAGGGAGGCGGTAATTTCATGCACTGGCCAGGGAGGTATACCATCTTTTAGGAGTGAAGAAGAGCGAAATGTAAGTGTGGTGGAGGTACGTGAGGCATTACGTAGAATGAAAGGGGGTAAAGCAGCTGGAACTGATGGGATCATGACAGAAATGTTAAAAGCAGGGGGGGATATAGTGTTGGAGTGGTTGGTACTTTGTTTAATAAATGTATGAAAGAGGGGAAGGTACCTAGGGATTGGCAGAGAGCATGTATAGTCCCTTTATATAAAGGGAAAGGGGACAAAAGAGATTGTAAAAATTATAGAGGAATAAGTTTACTGAGTATACCAGGAAAGGTTGTAGGTTGGTAGACAGCAACCACCCAGGGAAGTACTACCGTCCTGCCAGATGACTGTGAAACAAAAACCTGTAACTGTTTTGCATGATGGTAGGATTGCTGGTTTCTTTTTCTGTCTCATAAACACGCTAAGATAACAGGGATATCTTGCTACTCCTACTTACACTTTGGTCACACTTCACAGACACGCACATGCATATATATATATACATACATCTAGGTTTTTCTCCTTTTTCTAAATAGCTCTTGTTCTTTTTTATTTCTTCTATTGTCCATGGGGAAGTGGAAAAGAATCTTTCTCCGTAAGCCATGCGTTGTCGTATGAGGCGACTAAAATGCCGGGAGCAATGGGCTAGTAACCCCTTCTCCTGTATACAATTACTAAAAAGAGAAGAAGAAAAACTTTATAAAACTGGGTTGCTTAAATGTGCGTGGATGTAGTGCGGATGACAAGAAACAGATGATTGCTGATGTTATGAATGAAAAGAAGTTGGATTGTCCTGGCCCTAAGCGAAACAAAGCTGAAGGGGGTAGGAGAGTTTCAGTGGGGGGAAATAAATGGGATTAAATCTGGATATCTGAGAGAGTTAGAGCAAAGGAAGGGGTAGCAGTAATGTTAAATGATCAGTTATGGAAGGAGAAAAGAGAATATGAATGTGTAAATTCAAGAATTATGTGGATTAAAGTAAAGGTTGGATGCGAGAAGTGGGTCATAATAAAGCGTGTATGCACCTGGAGAAGAGAGGAATGCAGAGGAGAGAGAGAGATTTTGGGAGATGTTAGTGAATGTATAGGAGCCTTTGAACCAAGTGAGAGAGTAATTGTGGTAGGGGACTTGAATGCTAAAGTAGGAGAAACTTTTAGAGAGGGTGTGGTAGGTAAGTTTGGGGGTCAGGTGTAAATGATAATGGGAGCCCTTGATTGAACTTTGTATAGAAAGGGGTTAGTTATAGGTAATACATATTTTTAAGAAAAAGAGGATAATAAGTATACCGATATGATGTAGGGCGAAATGACAGTAGTTTGTTGGATTATGTATTGGTAGATAAAAGACTGTTGAGTAGACTTCAGGATGTACATGTTTATAGAGGGGCCACAGATATATCAGATCACTTTCTAGTTGTAGCTACACTGAGAGTAAAAGGTAGATGGGATACAAGGAGAATAGAAGCATCAGGGAAGAGAGAGGTGAAGGTTTATAAACTAAAAGAGGAGGCACTTAGGGTAAGATATAAACAGCTATTGGAGGATAGATGGGCTAATGAGAGCATAGGCAATGGGGTCGAAGAGGTATGGGGTAGGTTTAAAAATGTAGTGTTAGAGTGTTCAGCAGAAGTTTGTGGTTACAGGAAAGTGGGTGCAGGAGGGAAGAGGAGCGATTGGTGGAATGATGATGTAAAGAGAGTAGTAAGGAGAAAAAGTTAGCATATGAGAAGTTTTTACAAAGTAGAAGTGATGCAAGGAGGGAAGAGTAATATGGAGAAAAAGAGAGAAGTTAAGAGAGTGGTGAAGCAATGTAAAAAGAGAGCAAATGAGAGAGTGGGTGAGATGTTATCAACAATTTTGTTGAAAATAAGAAAAAGTTTTGGAGTGAGATTAACAAGTTAAGAAAGCCTAGAGAACAAATGGATTTGTCAGTTAAAAATAGGAGAGGAGAGTTATTAAATGGAGAGGTAGAGGTATTGGGAAGATGGAAGGAATATTTTGAGGAATTGTTAAATGTGATGAAGATAGGGAAGCTGTGATTTCGTGTATAGGGCAAGGAGGAATAACATCTTGTAGGAGTGAGGAAGAGCCAGTTGTGAGTGTGGGGAAGTTCGTGAGGCAGTAGGTAAAATGAAAGGGGTAAGGCAGCCGGGATTGATGGGATAAAGATGAAATGTTAAAAAACAGGGGGGGATATATTTTTTGGAGGTTGGTGCAATTAAAAAATAAAGTAGGAGAGGGAAAAGGTCCCTGGGGTTTGGCGAGAGCATGCATTTTCCTTTGTAAAAGGGCAAAGGGGAAAAAAGGGGGCAAAAATTTTGGGGAAAAGTCTGTTGAGTTACCGGGTAAAGTTTTGGTAGATTAAAATTTGAAAGAATTGAGTAAACGGAAAATGGGAAGCAGATGAACAAGGGGGCTTTGGAAAAGGTGGGGGGTGTGTGGACCGGTTTTTACGTGAAACAAAAGTAACTATTTAGATAAGGAAAAGAGGTCTTTGGGGCTTTTTGGTTTTTAAAAGGCGTATGAAGGGGGGATGGGGGGGAATGTGGCAGTGTTCAAGTGTATGGTGGGGAGGTAGGTTCTGAAAGCAGTGAGAGTTTTTACGAGGATAGTGAGGTCAAGTTTGAGTAGTAGGGAAAAGGAAATTTTTTTCCCCCTAAAAGTGGCCTTGACAAGGGTGTGTGATGTCACGGGTTGTTTAATATATTTATGAGGGTTGAAGAGAAGTAAAGCGAGGGTCTTGGGAGAGGGGGAGTTAAAAGATAAAGAATCACACACAAAGTGGGGGTTGTCACAGTCCCCCTTTTGCCGATACACGTGCCTTGGGGGATTCGGAGAAATTGCGAGATTGGGGATGAATTTTTTAGGGTGTCAAAGAAAAAAATTAAAAGGGGAATACAGGAAAGAGTAAGGGTTTGAGGAAACAAAAAAATTTGTGATGAAAGATTAAATCAAATTGGGGGGGAGAGTATGGAGGAGGGAACGATTCAGATATTGGGAGGGGGCGTGTCAGGGGAGGGGCTATGAAAGATGAGGGGAATCAAAAAATTGATGAGGGAAAAAGATGAGTGGTGCACTTAGGAGTCCGGGTGGAGAAAAAGAACTTTGCCCTTTGGGAGGCAAAAGAGGGGAATGTATGAGGTTAGTTTTACCAACCCCTTCTTTTATTGGGTGTGAAGCGTGGGGAGAATTTTTTTCAGCGAGGAGAAGGGCCCTGGGGGGCAGTGGAGATGTCATGCCCTGAGGGCAAGGGTGTGGTGTAAATTATAATGCAGAGAATTCGTATTTTGGGAAAGTTAGGAGGAGGTCCCGGATTCCCAAAATGTTTTTCCAGAGGGCTGGGGAAGGGGTTTTTGGGTGGTTGGGACATAAAAAGGGAATGGACAAAAACAGAATGACTTCAAGATTTGTATCAGTCTGAAAGTGGAAGGAAGGGGGGGTGGGGGTCCCTAGGAAGGGTTGGAGGGGGGGGGTTAAAGGAGTTTTTGTGCGGGGGGCTTGGACTTCCAGCGGGGAATGCTTTGAGCGTGTTTGATAGGAGTGAAGGGAGAAAAAGGGTTTTTTTAATATTTGGGACGGGCTGTTGGATTTGTAAAGCAAAGTAAAAATTTATAAAGGGTTTTCGGGGAAACCGGGCGGGCCCGGGACTTGACCCTGGAGGGGGAAAGTACAGGCCTGCACTTGAAGGGGGGGGTGTTAATTTTGCATTTAAAAACTGTAGTGTAAAGCACCCCTTCTGGCAAGACAGTGATGGAGTAAATGATGGTGAAAGTTTTTTTTTTTTCGGGCCACCCCGTTTGGGTTTGGGAATGGGCCGGTGTGATAAAAAAAAAAAAAAAAAAAAAAATTAAAATTGAAAAAATTTGGGGTAAGAAAAGAAAAAAAAGAATTGCGGGAGCAAGGAGGCTTAGAGGGGTGGGGGATGTGTGGGACAAGGGGTTAAAATTTTGAAGCATATATGTGAACATATTTAGATAAGGTGGGGAAGTTTTTATTTCTTTTATGGATTAAAAAGGCATATGATAAGGGGATGAGGGGGAAATTGGGGCAGATTTTGGGCAAGTTTATTGAATAGGGGGAAAATTTAAAAAAAAAGCTGAAAAGAGTTTTTAAAGAGGATAGTGAGGCTCGGGGTTTAGGGTGTGTAAAAGAGAGGAGTCCCTTCCGGAAAAAGGTAGGTCTTGGGACGGGGATGTGTAAGGGGTACCATTGTTTTTTAAAATATTTTTATAAAAGGGTTTTGAAAAAGAAGTAAATGCAAGGGTGTTCGGGAGGGGGGTGGGTTTAAATTAGGGGGAAATAAAATTTAAAAAAGGGGAATTTGACACATTTAATTTTTTGCAGATATACTTTGCTTATGGGAGATTCAAAAGAAAAATTTTGAAAAGGTTAGT